GAAACAACAAGGCAGGAGCCTAAGGAGAGCTTCTCGGATTTCGTAACTCAGTGGAGGGTGAAGGCTTCAATGATGACCCTGAGGCCTACCGACAAAGACCAAATCAGGATGATTGTGCGCAATCTCCAGCCAAAACTGATGCAAAAAATGATTGTGCTCCCCTTCCCCGCCTTTTCAGATCTACATGAAATGGGGGTACAAATTGAAGATGCAATGAAACATGGTCTGATTGACCAAGATAGAGAGCAGCCTAGAAGAACCTTTAACCGCAACAACAATACAGGCCCAAGTGGCGCTGCAACTGTAAGAGCTTCGGAGGTGAGCATGGTCACCACCATTCCCCCTCCCCTTCCAAGACCCATGGCAGCCACACCTTTCTCCGGTGCATCCGGAAGCAATACACAGACCACCAAATACCAACCCAGAGGCCGAAGAACCTTCACCCCATTGTATATGCCCTTGTCCAAGGCTCTAGGGGTGTTAATCAGGAAAGGGCATCTAAAACCCCTGGAGCCGAGGCCATTACCAAATCCACTCCCCCCTTCTCACAACCCAGCCAAATACTGCGCATATCACCAACAACATGGTCATGACACTGACCAATGCTTCCGACTGCGTCATGAGATTCAAGATCTCATTGACAAACAGGTGATCCTGCCTCCAGAAAAACCCAACGTCATAACTAACCCACTCCCTACACACAACCAAGCTCCACCTCCCAAAAGAGTCAACTTTATCCAGACTGGGGTCGTGCCTTACGATCCTAGCATCTATATCACTCCTTCCCACCTACCTAAGCCGGAGGTGCTCCTTCCTGACTGCACTGACTCTTTGTGCATGTTGGACATCTCCAGAACCCAACCCGAGCCAATGGTGGTGACTGGCAAAGATAGAACAGAGGAGATTTCAGAGGAAGATGGAATTATTCAATCAGGGCTTGAGCAGTCTGGGAGTGTCACTGGGGAAGCCTACATTCCAAGTGATTACATTCTGCCAGCAGGCCAGTTTGAGCCTAATATTGAATTGCCAGAGAAGGCAGAGCTGTGTGGGATCCAAGGGGATGGGTTTGAGTAGGGGACAGATGGTTTGACGGCTATGGAAAAGGACTTGGCCAACCTCTAGTTTTTCGACGACCAAGATCCAGCAGACGCGACAGTCAACTGGTTTGATTATGAGGAATCGGCATAGGCTACTGGGTGGCTTGATGACCTACCAGACATCGTCAAAGAATCTCAATTGGAACAGGGCCCGGCAGGGGCAAGAATATCAATTGTGGTCGGAAGGGCCGAAAATCAGAATGAATTGCCGGAGAGCGCTAGTACTAAAAATTTTGCTCAAGATTTGAGCATTGTGAATGCAGGGAAAGCTGAACAACAAACTGCACCGACACAGGTGGAACAAAAAAGGTTTTGGGATTCTGAGAGAATTAGGAAAGCTAAAGCCTATGAGGGGACCAAAAGTGTTGTGGGCACAAGGACAGAAGAGGCTGCGAGCATGTGGGCTGAAGGTACTACGAGTACAATCATACCGGAGCCGAACAGTTGTTTGTCGGCTGTTGACGGAATGTGGTGGGAGGACGATGATTTATGTCTTGCCCACACAGATGAGGATTGGGGGAGCAATCAGCCAGATGATACCTGGTATATCGACAAAGTCGATCATATGATGAGAAGCGGGCGGTATTTCAAGCCCCCGCACCTAGACCAGCCAGAGGCATCTGGAAAGGATAAGGAAGTTGAGAGACAGAAAGAGAAGCAAGTCGAAGAAGAGGCTGTACTGAGGCAGTTAAAGAAGATACAGGCAGACATCTCCATCTGGGGACTGCTTATGGCATCGCGAGTGCATCGACAAGCTGTCTTATCGGCCATGGACAAGGCCAAGCTCTCAATAGACACCACGCCCGAACAGCTGGTGGGCTTAGTTTTTCGGGGAGGAGCTACCCCGATGTTGACTTTCTCTGACAAAGAACTACCACCTGAGGGTGCGAACCAAAAAAAGCCACTCTACATCTCCGTGGAGTGCAGAAACAATTAGATACCTGTGGTGCTTGTCGATACAGGGTCTGCCTTCAATGTGTGCCCAGCAAGGACTGCATATGCAATCGGTTTAAAGACCGCATATTTTGCGCCGACAGCCCAGGTGATTCGAGCATATGACAACATAAGCCGAGAAGTCATGGGAACAGTGAAAATCCAGACCAAGGTTGGACCGGGGCAGCATGAAATTGACTTTCACGTCCTAGAGGTTCCCACCACTTTCAATCTACTCTTGGGCTGGCCGTGGCTGCATCAAGTGAAGGAAGTTTCTTCTACCTTGCATCAGATGGTGAAATACCCCCATGGGAAGGGAGTAGCCGTTGTTTTTGGGAATTCATCGATCCATCCACCGCCGGAAGTATCTACGCCAGTTTTGGAAATTGAGCACGGTATAGAGGATGTGTTCGTATCCGGTTTTACCCTAGCTGAGGACCGGGTCATACAGAACATCTTAGCTGTTAATGAGGGGGTGTATGTCAGTGCTCAATCGGTATACCTCATGAACAAGCTTTAACACGTCCCCAGGATGGGATTGGGAAAGAGCGGCTGGAAGGGCGTCGCAGCCTGAGGTGCCACACCACCCACACACCTTTGGCTTGGGTTATCTGCCCCCCAAAAAGGATTGGATAAGGAAGGGTAAGGAGATGGCTGGGAGAGCCCGAGCGAAGAAGGCGGGGAAGCCTTTTGACTTAATGCACCGGCCCATTCAGGGTACCCTAAACGGACGCTTTGTTCAGGAGGGGGAGGACTTCCTGTTTTGTGGCTTCCCAGAGCCGTGGCTGAACGCGGAGAGGAAGCGCGTGCCGGGATTTGAGATCTTCTTTGATCTGCAGTTATCCGGGGATGACGTTACCGAAGAGCAGACGGACCCATTGGCTGAGGCTGAGCAGAGTAAGAAAGTGCAATCTGAGGATGCTAAAAATGAAATGGGGTAGCGCTGGCATGTCTACTTTTAGATCCTCCGATCGAACAGAAGTGCTTGGGGGATAACTTCTCGGTATGCATGATCGGGAATGGAACGGCTGCGGGCCTACCAGTAACTATTTTGGATGCATCTATCGCACCCTCTCTCATTTGGCAGTATGAAGAGGGATTTTTGTCCAGCATCACCGGGCCAGGTAGTGAACCGAAATCTGATTCCACCGAATCTTGTGAGTCAGAATCAGGTTCTAGCTCGACTGAGTCTGAGTCTGGTAATCCTGGGGATGATAACCCGGATGCCACAGTCTTGTCCAGGTCGTCTTTTTCTTTCTCTTTTGAGTCTGTTGTAACCGAAGAATCGGACGATTTGGATGTGCTTAATGAGAATCAAGTAGCTGTGGTTTCTGAGAACTTTTCTATGCCCTTAATTTATTGCATTAATTCAGACTTTCAAAATTTTGATAAAAACGACGAGGAAGAAATTCCTCCGATTTTGCAACGCTTAATTGAACAAGAGAAAGAAAGATTTGTTAAACCTTTAGTGGATGAAATCACTACTGTGAACATCGGTACTGAAGAGGACCCGCGGCTGGTCCAGATCGGGTCCACGTTGTCTTCGGAGGAACGCGAGCACTTAGTGGCTTTATTAAAAGATTTCAAAGATGATTTCGTGTGGTCCTACGAAGACATGCCTGGAATCGATCCTGAGATTGTACAGCACCGGATCCCTCTTGACCCCGAGGCCCGACCCGTTAAACAAAAACTCAGAAGGATCCGCCCAGACTGGGCCCTTAAGATTAAGGAAGAAGTCACCAAGCAAATTGACGTAGGTTTCCTACTGGTATCCGAATACCCAACTTGGTTGGCTAACATCGTTTCAGTGCCAAAGAAGGATGGCAGGATCCGAGTATGCGTGGATTTCAAGGATTTGAAAGGGAGCTAGTCTGAAGGACGACTTTCCGTTGTCGCACATTGATGAGTTAGTGGACTTCACAGCGGGGCATGCTTTGCTTTCGTTTATGGATGGCTTCTCAGGCTACAATCAGATAGTGATGGCACCAGAAGACCGGGAAAAGACTGCCTTCACCACCCCGTAGGGGACATACTGCTACAGAGTGATGCCGTTTAGGTTGAAGAATGCTGGAGCTACATATCAACGGGCCGCGACCACAATATTGCATGACATGATCCACAAAGAGGTTGAGGTGTACATGGACGACATGATTGTCAAGTCCAAAGAAAGGGAGGGCCACTACACCGCCTTACAAAAATTCTTTCAAAGGATCAAAGAGTTTCGGCTGCGACTGAATCCCCAGAAATGCACGTTTGGTGTTACAGCAGGGAAGATGCTAGGGTTTCTGATTACACAAAGGGGCATCGAGGTCGACCCTTCCAAAATCAAGGCCATCTTAGAAATGCCACCACCAAGGACTGAAAAGAAGGTGCGAGGCTTTCTAGGTAAAGTGCAATTCATAAGACGGTTTATCTCAAAATTAACCTTGACTTGTGAACCACTTTTTGGTCTCCTGAAGAAAGGCAAGAAATTCCAATGGGATGGCCAATGCCAAGCTGCTTTTGAACAGATCAAGGAACACTTACAGAACCCACCCATGTTGTCACCACCGGAGCCGGGGAGACCGTTGATATTGTATCTTTCAGTAACTGAGACTACAATGGGCTGCATGCTCGCGTAGGAATCAAAGGACAAAGTGGAGAGGGCCATTTACTACCTGAGCAAGAAAATGCTAGAGTATGAGACTCGCTGCACACTGTTGGAAAAGGCTTGCCTAGCTTTGGTATTGGCTACCAAGAAGCTGCGGCACTACCTGTTAGCTCACTCCGTAATGTTGGTTTCACGACTCGATCCCATCAAATATCTTTTCGAGAAACCAGCGCTTACAGGTAGGCTAGCTCATTGGTTGCTGTTGCTTTCCGAATTCGATCTGAAACATGTGACGCGCAAGTCAGTCAAAGGGAGAGCAGTAGCAGAGTTCTTAGCCTATCATCCACTGGAAGGAGGTGAATCAGTTGAGTACTTATTCCCAGATGAGGCCATTTTGCATATCGACGACGAGTTTTGGACGATGTATTTTGACGGAGCGTCAAACCAGTATGGGTATGGGATAGGGGTGTTACTGATAGCCCGACAATTCCCGTATCCCTCTAGCCTTCAAACTCCGATTCAAAGTCTCGAACAACGAAGCAGAATATGAGGCATGCATTGCCGGTCTAGAAGCAGCCCTGGAACTAGGGGCAAGACGGTTGGACGTCATCGGGGACTCGAACTTTGTTGTGAGTCAAGCGAAAGGAGACTGGAAAGTCAAAGAAAAAAAGATGATGATGTATCACCAGACCTTGGATTTGTTGATTCCTTGGTTTGAGAAGCTGAACTTGGCTCATCTACTAAGAGAGAATAACAGGTTCGCAGATTCTTTAGCAACTCTATCTTCCATGATAGACATCCCGTTTGGAGTCCGGATGCGTCCAGTCATTATTGACCAGAAATTTGCGCCAGCCTACGAGTCGATTGCTGCTATAGATGAGGTTCAGGACGAAAACCCCTGGTATTACGATATTTGGAATTTCTTGGAGAAGGAAGCATATCCGCCGGGGGTAAATGCCAAGGATAAAAGGGCAATCAGAAGAATGGCCGTTCAGTTCATCATCTGTGGAGGTAAATTGTATAAGAGAGCTCATCTGGGAATGTACAAGTTGTGCATTGAAGTTGAAGAATCGAGGGCCCTGATGGAGGCCATCCATGGAGGGGAATGCGGTTCGTATATGAACGGGGTAATGCTAGCGCGGAAGATCCTCAGACAGGGTTACTACTGGTCCACCATGGAGGAGGATTGTATCGGCTTTGTTCGGCGATGCCACAAGTGTCAAATTCATGCAAATCGCATGAACATCCCGCCGTCGAGGCTGTACAATATGACTTCGCCATGGCCATTTTCAGTTTGGGGAATCGACGTGATCGGGGCTATTACTCCAAAAGGGTCGAATATGCATGAGTTCATCCTCGTCGCGATAGATTATTTCACGAAGTGGGTTGAGGCCCAGTCTTATGCAGTGTTGAAGGCGTCGCACGTTGCAAAGTTCATCAGGAATAACATCATCTGCCGCTACGGGGTCCCGAACGAGGTCATTTCAGATAATGGTTCCCACTTCAAGAAGGAAGTGATTGACTTGTTGAAAAAATATAACGTGGCTTTTCATAAGTCATCCACATACCGGCCGCAAACCAATGGAGCGGTTGAGGCCGCCAACAAGAATATCAAACATATACTGCAGAAAATGGTGGAAACCTACCGGGATTGGCCAGACAAGCTGCTGTTTGCTCTGTGGGGGTACCGGACTTCAATTAGAACTTCTACTAGGGCGACTCCGTATTCATTAGTTTATGGGATGGAGGCCATTCTACTGTAATAACCCTCACCACTGCTTACCGATAACCACTGATTACCGTCAAACTGAACTGATTATGACTGATAATTGAACTGATTAAAGTACTGAACTGACTGACTGAAAACTGGAACTGAATTGACTGAGT